ATCAGTGTAATTGCAGCCCAGCAGCTGCTGACACCTTCCCATCCCCCCGGAGCTGCTGGTGGTAGCCGGGGTGGGGGGACCCCCGCCAGGGACCCTGGTGGCTCTGCCTCTGTCCCCTGCACTGCTGGGCTCTCCTGGTTCTCTTCATTAATGGGCACAGCTGAGTCACTAACGAAGGGCGATGTGTCCTCCCGTTTGGTGGTTTTATTTTGCGGGGTGCCCTGAAAGGGATGGTGTTTACTCAGAGATAGTTCCCCCCGCCTTTTTTTTTTTTTTTTTTTGGCTGGAGCAGAGAAACATGGAAGGCTCGCTCTCTCCTCCAAAAACACCAGTTTCCCCAGTTTCCCCTCATTCCTCATTGATGTTGACATGCCAGGCATATTTTTTTCAGGTCTCTCTTGACTTTGCTGAAGGATGCTCTCAAATGAATATTTCAGAGCTTTGATTTCGACTTAAAGGGAGCTGAATATTGAATATTTAACAAAGTCCTTTTTATCCACTGCTTTTTCAGCACTGGAGTGGACTAGGTGTTAAAAATCAATACAAACCAGGATCAAACACTCTTCCTAAAAAGCCTCACATCTCCACATCTGTGCTGCAGAGGTGATGCGAGTCACATCTCTCCTGGTACCCAGCCTGCTGGGCTGCCGTGTCCTTCCCCGTCCTCTCCATCGCCAAGCCAGCCTCTCTTCCCTTGGTCTTGCCTGTTCCATCCTCATTTTTTTGCTGCCATCGCAGCATCGCTTTCCAGCCCGCCTGGGTCCAGCTGCGGTGGCCAGAGAGGGCGGCAGCACCTGAATTTCCAGGTGGGGAGATTGGGCAGGAGGATGCAGGAGCTGCAAGTCAGCGATGGAGCCAGGGACAGACATGACGGTCCCCAGGACCCCCCAGGGGTGGCTGCTGCCAGCCACCGGCTTCATCAGAGGAGCTGCTGGCTCGAGACGAGGGGAGGGGAAGGGAGGAGAGGGGAAGGAAAGGGGTCCTTCTTCCCGGGAGCCAGCAATGCCCCGTGCCAGCCCTCAGCACCCCTCGGCCACGTCTCAGCTCAGAGCTGCACAAACCCGGGTGAACCAGGACTCAGGGTGGGGGGACACACACAGGTAACCCAGTCCCACCACAGAACCACAGTCACGAACCACAGTCACAAACATCACACGCTGCTGCCTCAGCTTCCCCACCTGCAACGCAGATGAAATGGTGCCCTGGGCTGGGGTGTTGAATTTTTCTCCTGCAAACCTCAGGTCTTTGCAGAAAAGGGAAAGGTCTTGGGGAGCTGCTGGGTCCTGCTGGTCCCAGCCGTGCCCACCCGCATCCCTGCTGCCGTCATCCTCGGAGCTGCATCCCTCCTCGGCTTGCTGCGAGGACGCTGGGGACATCTGATCCTTTTTCTTCTCCCTTGCAGGCACCACCTCCGAGCCCGCACTCTTGCCATTCCCAGGTGAGATTCTTCTCTTGAAGTCATTTGTCTCTAGAAAGTTTTCTAGCTGTCTGCTGAGGTCCCTCTCCCTGTCCATCCTTCCAGAGATACGGGGCCCCAGCCGCTGCCAGGGGCGAGTGGAGATCCTCTACAACGGCTCCTGGGGGACAGTCTGCGACGACGACTGGGACATCGTGGACGCCAACGTGGTGTGTCGCCAGCTGGGCTGCGGCCACGCCATCACCCTCCCAGCAGCCATGACCTTCGGCCAAGGCAGCGGACCCATCTTCCTGGACAACGTGGACTGCAAGGGCTGGGAAGCAGCCTTGAGTGAGTGCTGGAGCCACGGCTGGGGCATCCACAACTGCTACCACTACGAGGACGTGGCCGTCGTATGCAACGGTAATGAGGTTTGGTTCTTTGGGGGGCAGGGAGAGGAGGGGTACCTGTGGTGCTGCAAGCCTTGGTGTCCACAAAGGGAGGGATGGTGGGTTGGCTGGTGGGTTGGACTAGCAAAAGGAGGTCACGGATTGAGCAGGAACCCCAATGCAAGGAGCTGCTGGAGAGGGGATGCAGTGACACCTTGGGAGAGCCCATGCGTGGTATCTCCGAGCCTGTTCCTCCGAGCCTGGCTCAGCCAAACCTCCTCTGCATCCTTCCTCCACCCCTTCCTTCAATCCAGGTCATCCCCCAGCTCAGCACATTGGTGCTCCATAGGGTGACAAGCTTGTTTTGTGTTCCCCGTCACTCCCAGCTTGGGGACTTTGCAACCTCTCCGGCACAATCCACGGTGAAGGAGCACGAGCCCACCCACGCTCCTGCCGCTGAGTCAGCCGCTGCCCAGCTGCTCTTTCCCCTTTTGCCTTGCCTTTCTCTAAATTGCTGAGCTTTGCACTAGGAAATGTTCTGAAAGGTGAGAAAAGCAAGTGGAAAGTGTTCCAACTTGGCATGCGAAAGTGGAACAGCTCTGTGCTGATATATCGCCTACACCCGTGCAATATACCCTATATACCCCTGCTCCCTATACCCTATATCCCTGTGCTCTCTATACCCTATATCCCCATGCTCTCTATACCCTATATACCCCTGCTCTCTATACCCTATATACCCATGCTCTCTATACCCTGTATCCCCGTGCTCTCTATGCCCTACATCCCTGTGCTCTCCACACCCTATATACCCATGCTCTCTATACCCTTTACATTCCTTCTGCACAGCTACAGGGTTTGCTCGCCAGCCCTGCATCAACAACGGGTCAGCGTGAGGCTGTGCAGCCCCGGAGCTCAGCCAGGGTCGCAGCCGTTCGGTGAATCCCTGTGTCCTGCAGAAGCGGGGCTGGGAACGGGAGGGCTGGGGGGTTGGCTGGTGGGTTGGACCAGCAGCGAGCAGAGAAAGGAGGTGGCGATTGAGCAGGAACCCCAATGCAAGGAGCTGCTGGAGAGGAGATGAGAAAGGACGAAACAAAGAGGTGGGGAAGATGGGTCTGGGGGCAGAGGAGCGGCTGGTGCCCTTTGGTTGGTGACAGAGCCCAGGAGATGCTCTGGGGTGGCCCTGGGAGGAGATGCAGGAGTTTGACCTGAGCACCAGACCCCTCAGGAAGGTGGTCCCCGCCTGTGCCGCGTGGAAGCTTTCAAGAGCCAGCTTTCTGTCAGTTGTATTCACGGAGGGAAACGTGGAGCCAGCCGGCTCTTGGCCGTGCTGGTGGCCTGGGTTTCCCAGATGCTTCCCAGTGCCACCCCCCGCACCACCCCCAGACGATTGCACCAGCCCAGCTGAGGAGCCGGGACATGATGGGCAATATGGGAGCTTCAAACAACATTGTCTGCAAAAGAAATATAGCTCAAACCAGCAGGAAAATCAAAATATGACTGGTTTTTCTCTCTTTTGCCATGACTTTGGATGCAAATCCCAGGATAGGAGGGAGCCCGACTCCTGACAGCGCAGCGCTGTGATTTAGTCCAGGTCCCCGTGCCATGCCGCTGGGCACAACCTCCCGAGGTCCTGGCTCCATCCTCCAGGGCAGAGAGCTCTGGGCAGAGCAGCGCGGCTGCAAACGCCTCTTTCTTTCCCCGTCGGGGCGGGTTTGGTGCAAACCCTCTTGCTTTCCATGGCACGTGGGCACTGCTCCCCACCAGCTCCGGCACGGGGTGCTGCGGGCAGGGATGGACGCTGGCTCTCCGCTTCCCTTTGCAGAGCTCTCACCCACGCCAGCCAGCGAAGGACCGACCAGCAGGACCCTCACGGCCGCGGTACAAGACGGGGAAAGTAAGCTGCTCGGCCGAGGGCTGGTACAGACCAGTGTCCCCCACCCTTGTGCCCCCATCCTCACCCCTTTCCCCTCCATGAAGCACCCCAACTCTCCTGCTGCGAGGGGCAGACCCCCAGGGACCCCCTTGTTGTACCAACCGTGGCCAAACTCTGTCCCCAAGGGTCCCCAAGGCTCCCGTCGGCCATGCTGCCCTAAAGCATCGCCCCTTCCCCGCCGTGTCCCCCCGGTTTCTCTGCCATCCCAGCTCAGTGGCATCGCTGTGTGGCGGTGCGTGCGGTGACCTCCTGGGGGGATGCGATGTCCTCCTCACCTCGTGCTGCCACCCTGCAGGTGACGGCAGCATCCGGCTGGTGAGCTGGCCCGACATGTGCCGAGGGCGGGTGGAGATCTTCTACCGGGGGAACTGGGGCACGGTCTGCGATGACGACTGGGGGCTGAGCGACGCCAGCGTGGTGTGCCGGCAGGTGGGCTGCGGCCAAGCCCTGGATTACAAGAGCAACGCTTATTTCGGCTACGGCACGGGGCGCA